TGGATGCTTATTTCTTCCTTTTGTTCCAAATCGCTAATTTGAGTCCCAGTTTCCTTCCTGTCACTGTTGGTTTCCTGTATATTTTATTTCACTCTGTGTAGCCTTCATTTCTTCCTTCATTTTGTGACCGAGCTCAATCAATTCTGTGAGCATCCTGATTACCCTGATTACCAGTGTTTTGAACTCTGCATCAGATAGGTCATCCATCTCCTCATCACTTACCTCTTTTTCTGGAGTGTTGATCTGTTCTTTCATTTGGGCCATATTTCTTTGTCTTGGCACACTGGTCTTGATGAATATCTCTTTGACTCCTTGGTTGTCAGAGTTCCATGCAGTTTGCTATTCTGGAAATTCTGGTTGTTTATTGTTTTTAAATTGATTGTTATCCTTTTGGTTGTACAAGGAAATGAAGCATTTCTACGTACACCTCCATCTTGGCCAAAACTTGAATTCTCCAAAAATTAATTATTAAAAATAGTTCAAACAATTTAGAAGGTAAATTAGTAGCCCTATTTACAGGCATGATCTTTTTTTAATTTTTCTTTTTTAGAGAGAGAGAGAGGATGGGGGAGAGAGAGAGAGAAACTTTGATTTGTTGTTCCACTTGTTCATGCATTCATTGGCTGACTCCTGTATGTGCCCTGACTGGGGATCTAACCCACAACCTAGGAGTATCAGACAATGCTCTAATCATGATCTTGATTTTAAAAGTTTTGGTTTGAGCTGTCTACTTCCATGTATCCCTGCCTCTGCACTAAAATGGTCCTGGAGACCCTGACTTGGTCACTGAGTATAGTCTGGCAAGTGTCTATGTGGGTTATTGAGTCTTTTTTTTTTTAAGATTTTATTTATTTATCTTTAGAGGGGAAGGGAAGAGGAGAGGGAGAGAAACATCAATGTGTGGTTGCCTTTTGTGTGTCCCTTGCTGGGAACTGGCCTGCAGGGAACCTGCCTGCAACCCTGGCATGTGCCCTGACTGGGAATCGAACCGCGATTGTCTGGTTCGCAGGCCCGTGCTCAATCCACTGAGCTACACCAGCCAGGGCGTTATTGAGTCTTTTTGATGTTCCTTCTGGAAGACTCAATTTGTGATCTATAACTTGTAGCAGGAACCTTTAGGCAAGTGTAAGGAAACAACAAATTACTTGAGCCTGATAAGACCAATTGGCTCTGGTTAATTTAATTTAATAACCAACAGTACTAGACTTAGGAAAGTGGAATCCTCTGTTGAGAATAATATATATACACTAATCTATAAAGATTTAGTCACTCATTAATACCACAAAATGTTATAATAACTGTTCCCAATTGAAAATGGTATTTAAACCTTGAAACAAAAATTGTTCATTAATCTGTGTGTGACTATTGTTTTGGTTGTTGCAGGTCAACATGACAATGTCTATTCTCAAAAATGTACTTAGACCCTGAAACATACTTATATTAATAACAAAACTGAACTTCCCTTTGATGTGTCAGGTATATTTTCATCTGTGTTTGGGAAACAAAAAAATTCTTAATAGTTTAAGTTAAATAAAATGTGGAAATAAATCATACAAATCCCTATTACTTTTCCTTTCATAAGAAGCAAATTTTTCAGCCGAGATGGAAGAGTAGGTAGATACGCTTCTCTTCCTCACACAACCAAAAGTAATACAACAACCAATTTAAAAGCAAAAATCAACCAGGACAACCAGAAAATCAAACAGAATGGAAGTCCAACAAGCAAGGAGTTAAAGAAGGAACATTCTTCCAGACTGGTAGAAGGGGTGGGGACAGGCAGCTGGGGTGGAGAGTACGCATGGCAAGGCAGCCACTGGAGGACCAGGCAGACAAGGCTGTGGCTGGCAGTCCTACATTTGCATGCAGATAAACTGGGAGGAACAACTGGGGAGCGAGACAGACTACATAATGCAGGGTTACAGCATGGGGAAAGAGCCTCAAATCCTCTGGCTGTAAAAACCTGTGGAGGTTTCAGAGGCAGGGGACACTCCCATCCTCACAAGAGAGTTCTTTGGAGAGACCCACAGGGTCCTAGAATGTACTCAAGCCCACCCATCCAGGAATCAACAACAGAAGGGCCTAATCACTTGGGGGAAGTGGGGGAAGTGACTGAAAGTCAGCCAAGAGCATAGCAAGTGGCATGGTTCCCTCTCAGATTCCTCACCCACACACAAAGCACAACACTGAGACATGGGTTGGCCCTCCCTGGTGAATATCTAAGGCTCTGCCCATTATAACAGGTGAGCCAAGACAAAGCAATATGGCCCAAATGAAAGAACAGATCAACAGTCCAGAAAAACAACTAAGCCATAAAGAGCCAACCTATCAGATGAAGAGTTCAAAACACTGGTAATCAGGATGCTCACAGAAAAGGTTGAGTTTGTCACAAAATAAAGGAAGAAGTGAAGCCTATGAAAAGTGAAATAAAGGAAAATGAACAGGGAACCAAAAGTGACGGGAAGGAAACTGGGACTCAAATTAGCGATTTGGAACAAAAGGAAGAAATAAGCATTCACCTGGAACAGGATGAAGAAACAAGAATTAAAAAAAAAAAAAAAAGAGGAGATGCTTAGAAACCTCTGGAACAACTTTAAATGTTTCAATATCCAAATCATAGAGGTGCCAGAAGAGAAAGAGCAAGAAATTGAAAACTTATTTGAAAACATAATGAAGGAAAACTTCCCCAATCTGACAAAGGAAGTAGACTTCCAGGTGGGCCAGGAAGCTCAGAAAGTCCCAAAGAAGTTGGACCTGAGGAGGAACGCACTAAGACACATCATTATTATATAACCAAAGATGAAAGATAAGGAGAGCATCTTAAAAGCAACAAGAGAAAAGTGTTACCTACAAAGGAATTCCCATCAGACTGTCAGCTGATTTCTCAAAAGAAACCTTACAGGCAAGAAGGGGCTAAAAAGAAGTATTTCAAGTCATGAAAGGCAAGGACCTACATTCAAGATTACTCTGTCCAGCAAAGCTATCATTTAGAATGGAAGGGCAGATAAAGTGCTTCCCAAATAAGGTAGTGTTCCATTCTGTGTCCCATTTCCACAAAATGTACCCATTCTCCAGACTCTTATTATAATAATTTACTTGTTCTTTATAGATTTATCACCACGTGTGTGTAATTCATTTTCTAAATTGTGATATGTCTTTTAAGTCTCTTCCCTATGTACAAGGTTTCCCTCCCTTTATTTTTCTTGCAGTTATCTGTTGAAGAACACAGGCCTTAGACTAGAGTCTCCCAAAGTCTGAATTTATTGCTTGCACACTTATGTTTCCAATCAGCATGTTTCCTCATTCTCTGTATATTGCAAATTGGCAGCTGGATCCAGAGACTCGGTTGGACTGTGGTTCAGTCCCTTGCAATATTGCAGGTAGTGCTGGATTCTTTCATCAGAAACCATGTCTGGCTTTCTCTGTTTTTATGTTAGCAGTTGGGTGCAATGCCCAGATCCATTAATTCATTGGTGGCTGCAAAATAGGGACATTCTAATTCTATTGTTTGTTTTTAATTTATTAATTGTAAAACTTTTACTAAGAGATACTTTTTACCTACTATTAATTTTCTATAGGTTTTCTATAGTTCTTGTAGGAAAGATAGAACAAATGCTTTATTTTGGCTTTGGTTTTTCACTTTTCAAGATAGTTCCTTTGACAGTAACCAGTTAATTTTTTAATATCTTTATGAACTCACGGACTCAGACATATTTGATGTATTTCAATACATGGAAATAATATTATGATGCTCAGATTGTTCTATCTTTGGCCATTTGGAGCCTTTTCAGTAGACTCCTGAATGGCTTAATCTACTCCTGGTCATCTTGTGGTGTCTTTGCTCTGTGATATAAGTAACTGTTTCAGGCTCATCCTTTACATTTCTTCCCCAAATCTGAGAACCAGTGTTTCTCCAAGGAGCCCTGTATGGCAATCGAGGTATTGGGAGTGCTCATTGTTATGAGTTGGTCATTGTTTCTAATACTTAGAAATATACATAATGTATGTATATGACATATATAATTGTTAACTTAATTTTTGTATTATATCTGTATCTCTTTTCTTCTATACCCAAAATCCTAGCTATTAAGGATACAGGGGATTATGAATTAGAATATTCTCATTATTAATTACTCATTTGTTTTAGCCCATATTATACTATAGTCTCATAATAGAAATACTAATTATGATTACCAACATGACTACTGAGAACACTGAAATTGTTGTGCATGTGACCCCCATTCCTCTCTCACTTATTTTTTAGGAAAGAAGGTTGACAAATTTTGTTATTTTTATTGTCTTAATTAGTTTCAACTAAACAATTCAGTGGTTTTTAGTATATTAAAGAAGTTATATAGGCTGTACACCTGAAACTAAAACAAAATAATATTGAGTGTAAACTCTAATTGAAAAATAAAAATTTTTTAAAAGAAGTTATACCATCATCACATTATTTAATTCCAGAATATATCCTATCACCCTTGTACCTTCCTCTCCCCCATCCCCTACCCCCTGGCAACCACTGAGGGACTTTCTGTCCCTATGGATTTGCATGTTTCAGACATTTCATGTAACTGGAATCATACAATATGTGGCCTTTTATGTCCGGCTTCTTTCAGCAAGATATTATCAGGATCATCTATGTTAACAGCATATGAGACAAGTTATTACTATTTTTTAATTCTCACTCAAGGATATTTTTATTGATCTTAGGAAGGGGGAAAGTGAAAGAGAGAAACATTGATGTGAGAGAGAAACTGGTTGCCTCCCGTACACACTCGGACCAGGGATCGAACCCACAACCCAGATATGTGCCCCCCACCTAGAATCAAACCCCAAAACTTTTGGTATATGGGAAAATGCTCCAATCAACTGAACCACCCAGCCAGGGCAAGTTATTTTTTAAGTAAAAAAAAAATCAATCAGTACAAAAATGATTGGGCATCAAATTCCTCATCCCCTACTAAAGAGTCCTGCTACAACTAACTGCTTGTTTCCTGCAGGGGCCTGAATGCATTGGTGAGTGGGAGCTGTCTACCCCTGCCAGAAAGCCACACATGAACAACACCTGCTGGCCACTGCACAGTTCTTCTGGAAGACACCTGGGCTGGGACTCATATCCAAGATACATCTCCCCTCAACCCCTCAAACCAGAACAGCTCCTGGCTACATAAATCTAGCATCTCCCCCTATTTGCCACCACTCTGCCATCCCAGATGAACAGGGGCTTTCAGTGTTAAAATCTGGGCCACATGCTGCTCAAAGGCCTTCTTCTTCATCTATGACTAGCCATAGGTTCTAAGATGGCTGCAGAACCTGAGCCAGGCATGACTAGTGAGGAACAGACCACAATTTCTGAACTGAGATCCTCTCTCTCTCTACACTGACCAGAGCCTACCTTGTTGGATCCAAAAGAGACTACCTCTCTTCCTTCAAGGAAGGCTCTGCACCGCTGTCCCCAAGACCCAGTAACCTTTCCCACCACACCCACCCAGGCTCTGGGCCTCACCCTCCAATATGCATCTGCTTTGTAGAACCCTGATAACAATGAGTAGGATGATGTGTTTATGAGTCAGTTCCTCCAAACCACTTGGGAGGCTCCCTAAGTCAGGGGCCATGTTTATTCACTTTATACCCCCATTCCTCGGTGCCTGGTCCAGCGAATGCTGTTCATCAATGTGTGATCAGTTAGAGAGGGAAGAAGGCAGTGCGCCCATCCATATTGTGAGCTGTCTGAGAGCAGCGCTTCACCTCCTAACTGTATCCTTCTCCTTCTCCTCCTCCCACAGTGAAACTAGATGCAAGATTGGGAGCAGGATGGGAATGTAGACAAGTGACGGCTTCATTCAAGATTAAAAGATCTCCACCTGTAGGATTTCTGCGTAATATCTTTATTTAGCTCAGGAAGATGTTTCCTCACATTTCTGGATACATGGGTATGAATTTACTATATTCAGTAAATTGTTAAGCTTTTACATATGATAAGTGCAAACATGCAAGTACAATGTAGGCTAAAATGAAAAGCTCCTTGCATAAAAATATTTTTTAAAAGACACATTAGTACAAGGCATAGAGAAAGGAGACCAACACAAGGTGACTGAATTATCATCCCCCTACCCGGTCCTGATGCCTAAATAAAGGACTCTCTCATCTGTGCTCTTCTAAGACAGGTCCCCAGCTCCTCCTGGACAGGAACAGAGGCCTCATAAGGCCAGGAGGCACTACTGTTCCTGCCTGCAGAGAGGAAGGCAATGTCCCCAGGCACAGTGTCCCAGATCCTCAGCCTTGTTCAAGGAGAGAGACCAACTCTGTGCCAGAATCTTGGACTGCTTCTTCCTTTCACTCTTGATGGCTCCCAATTGTCGAAGAAATTGAACAGGATTTGATGTGGCTTGTAAGTATTTCTCGAGCCAGTCAGACCCCACAAAGAGCCAGCTAACTGGCTGGGCCCAGGCCTTCCAAAGAGCTCCTCAGAGGTTTCCAGAGGCCAGAGAACCTCCTAACCCTACCAGACCGGCTAGCTCAAGGACTACTTCAGAAGGCTTCATCAGTTCCTGTGTGGCCCCTAAAGTGACCACTGCCTGTATTCGCTATGCAGAGAGGAAAGTCCAGGGTGGGGAGCAGGCATGATCCCTCAGGCTTGCCTACAGCCAGACAGCAAAAAATCAGCCAGTGCAATATCTATGGCTTTCAACCCAAAGCTTAGACCTCCCTGGGCCTGCCCCTGGCCCATCTGGGCAGGTAGGCCAGGGAGACAGATTCGGGGCCTTACTTCAGTCCATGTATCAGATCAGGGCTGGTGGGATGAAGATGGTATGGGAAATAGGGGGATCTCATTGTGGTCCTGATCTTAACTGAGCTTTCTCCCTTCCCAGTACCACCAAAGACACAAGTCTGAATGGCTTTTACAGGTACATGGCTCTGTAGGATTCTCAGCTCCCTAAGAGCGAATGTGTACCTGGAAGTGCTCACAGCGGGCATGCTTCATGGTCAGCCCGTAGATGGGGGTCATGTCCACCTTCACACCCAGTGGCGTGCTGAATTCTACCTGCTGCAATAGGGTGGCCAGGAAGAGGAAGATCTCAAGGCGGGCAATGGTTTCACCGATGCACTTCCGCTTGCCTAGGCCAAAGATAATCACCTGCTCGCTCAGTGCCTTGTTGAGAGTACCAGTGGGGGTGAGAAAACGTTCTGGCCGGAACTCAAATGGGTTGTCCCACAGTTTCCTGTAATCAGAGAGAGGCAGCTGAACTGGCAGCCTGCAGACTCAGAAGCATTTAGTGGGTTGCATCCCAGCCCAGAAGAGCAGGGGAGAGGCAAGTGGCCAGGAACAGCAGTGTCTGAGCTCAGAAGAGGGTAGAATTTCTGCTGCCCCTTCTCAACTTACTGGTCATGGTTGATCTGCCACTGGTTCACAAAGACACAGCGCCCCTTGGGGATGTAAAAGCCTCTCAGACTTGTATCTCTGGTGGTACTGGGGAGGGAGAAAGCTCAGTCAAGCTCAGGGCCACAGTGACATCCCCCTACCTTCTCCACCATGTTTCTCTCACCAGCCCTGATCAGGTACATGGACTGAAGTAAGGCCCAGTAACAGCAATGGATCATAGGGCCTCACCTGTGGGGGATGGTGAAGGGGACGAAGGACGAGTGTCGGAAGGTCTCCAAGATGAAGGCCTCCATATAGGGCAGCTGGGGTCTGTCAGAGAGGCGGGGCCGCCTTGCCCTCCCAATCACTGTGTCTGTAGAGCACAAAGGACCAGACAGATGAAGGGGCCTCCCAGGCTTGGGCTAGGCCTCTCCCTTAAGCACTTTGAAGGAGGCCACCACCTACCCAGCTCCTCCTGGATCTTTTTCTGCACATTGGGGCTTGTCACCAGGTACAGGAGGCTCCAAGAAATGGCAGTTGTGACTGTGTCAAACCCTGGCCAAAGAAGAACAGGGGGAGAAGTTAGGCTTTTGGGGAGTCAGGGCAGTTGGGCACAGGAAAGGCAAATGGGATTGCTCATACCAGCTCCAAAGAGGTCCATGACAATAGTAATGATCTTCTCATCAGACAGCTGGATATTGGCATTCTCATCCAGCCTTTTGTCCTGACAGTGCTTGATCAGGCTGTCTGTGATATCCCGGATGTGGCCCTATGTAGGGAAGGTCCACAGGTGAGCAAGTTCTCAAACCCAGACCTAGGGTCTCCATCCAGATCTGGTCCCCTACTATTCCTAGCACCTTTATTCAAGACATGACCCCACCCACCCACCAAGGCTGCCACCCCAGCTTCCCTCTGCCAGCCCAAGGCTCTCTCCTATCCCAACTCAAGGGTCACCTGACACAGAGTCTGGTATCATTTTTCATGGGTACGTGCTCTTTACCCTTTTCTCTCCCATGAGGCCAGGAGACTAACTTTTTAACTCTTCCTGGTTCCTCTAAGTGGCCTAGAGTCCTCCATGGACTGGCAATTCAGTAAATATTGCTGTCTGAAAGAAGGATAAAAGGGATGGCCATGAAAAAGTTCTATTTTCCTGCCATGGATGAAGTCCCCTCCACTACTGGCTCCAAAATCTCAGGGTGAAGGCCCTGAGAGTCCGCCATGCCAAGCTGCTCTAGTTATCTCTGACTTCCTGACCCTACCTACTCCTCATCACCCTACTGCCTCTCCCCAGCCTGTACCTTCTCAAATGTTTTATAGTGTTCCTTAACCATCTTCTGCATGAAGATGTAGAACTTCTTAGTCAGGTCCTTGAAGGTACTCAGGGTACGGTTGGGCAGGTAACGGAGGATAGGAAGGAAGTCAGCTGGGTTTCCGGAAGCAGCCACCTCCCCGAACTCATTATTCATGTTGACTATACTAAGTAGTTCTTGGTTTTCATGGTCATAGCGCTGACCAAAGCACATGGCACAGATGACATTGGCCACTGACACCACTATATACCTGTAGGGGTCAAAATGTCCAACCCCTGCCATCAGCTCCTTGAATTTGCTAATGAGGATCTCGGCCTCCTTGCTCACATGTTCCTCCAGGTAGCATGAAGATGAGGAAGCTGGGTCTGAGGCAATGGAGAAACTCTTCAGGGCATTCTGGGCCAGGCGTCTGCGGGCAGCCCACACTGGTCCAGAGTCTGGGCTAAAGGTCATGCTCTGGCCATTACTGATGAAGGTGAAGCTGTAGAGGTCAGGCCGGCCCTTGAAATCATCGCCCTGTCGCACCAGGGCCTGCTGGATGGTGTCAAGGCCACTGAGCACCAGCACAGGTGTGTAGCCAATGCGGATCTCCAGCACATCCCCATAATGCTGGCTCAGCCGTGACAGCACCAGGTGTGGGTTCTTCCACAAGGTCAGTGTGTGTCCAAGTAGGGGCCAGCCCCAGGGCCCTGGTGGACTCTTTAGGCCTTTGGGGACCTGAGGCTGCCAGGCCCTGACCACCCAGAATACCAGGCAGAAGACAGTGGAGGCCAGGAGAAGGTCTGTGGCTGAGACGGGGATGGAGAGTCCATTCACAGAAAACATGATCAGCATAGAGATGGCAAGGTGGCTGCTGAGAGGTGGCAGGAGGAAAAAACCAAGACATCATACAGGGGAGTGGGAGGAAGCAATGTCTTCAAGTAACAGCATGCTGGTCAAGCAAAAAGGAAACTCTATCCAGAACTGCTCACTGGGTATGAAGGGGAGCAGGTGGTAAAAGCTGCTGAGATCCCAACTTGCCTACTGCAGAACACCTTTCTTAACTGTGCACCGGTGTAAAGAGGTGCTTCCCAATGTCACTCTGTGATTTCCATACGCACCTGTACTACTGCTTCACATTTTTCTAAAATCAACTTTAAATCTACTTACTTAGCATTCTCCCAAACATATCTGTGTGAAAGTACAAGTTTGATTTCCCCCAATATGTTGAAATAAACACATAATTGACATGTATCACCAAAATCTCCTTAAGTACTACCCACCACACTTAGGGAAATGCTGCTATCAGAAGAACTAGGCATCATGCACTTCTTTAGCTTCATTTCACCTTTGGGGGAAATTGACCTTCAGAAGAAGCATCAACTTATCTAAAATCACTCAGCACCCAGTGTTTGAGCCAGGACTCAGACCTTTTAGGGAAAATTCCCTGGAAGGTTTCCAGCTCTTATCATAGCTACCCCCTTTTGAAGAGTGGTCTCAGAATCCTCAGAACTCTCCTGCTCAACCCCAGGGTTGAGGGTGTCCTACTATGCCCTGGGACAGGGTGGGAAGGGGACAGGGTATGGGAAGACCACTGTCTAAGTCACACTGCTCTCAGCCCCAGCTCTCTAAGTTCAACTGACCCATAGTATAAAAGCAGATAGAGACCAGCTAGGTTGAGGGTCTGAGTCATAGAAATCTAGGCTAGGGTTTTTGTTGGGCTCAATTCTCAAGGAATGAATCATCTGGGTCTCCCCCATATGCTATTCACCAGAGAGCAGAGAATAAATGCAAGGCTCCCACCAGAGCCAGGGCTGCAAGAAAACTCCAGACTGCAATGAGGGAAATTAGGAATGGACCCGAACTTAACTGAGGCTAAGGCGATACTTTCTAGGCTTGGTCCAGAAAATGTGTGCACATTCATGGACTACTGACTCCAAGACATCAGGTTCTGACTGGGACATCTTCCTGGTGCCCTGTACAGGAGACTCAGTGTTTCAGGCTCAATGGCATGGCCGTGGTCTGGTCATTTTACCTTTCTGGGCTCCAATTATATCACCTGAGGGAGGGAGTGGGATGTGATCTCTGATTCAGGGTGCCTAGCTGGATCTCAGAGCAGAGAACTCACCTCTGGCCTGGGGAACCTCACAGCCTGACTAGCCAGGTTTCCCTGCAGGAGAGCCACTCAAGATGGGGAGGTTGGTTGTGTGGTTCCTACCTCAAATACTATGGCTGTCCATCTAAGGAGGCTTCCTGGGGGAGCTGGATCCCAAAGAACATGTAAAAAGCCCTGGCTCCCTAAGTGAACTGGAACGCTGCTAGGCCTTGGTGTACCATGGTGTCTCCTTGCATATACTGGGTGCCCCAAGGACCTCTAGCCTTAGTAAGATGGTGGGAGGCTAAGAGAAACGTGACTAGTGGTCCAGCTTCCTTGAAGCTGAGTCTCTCATACTAACTGCTTCCCAGTAGGGAGTAGAGGCCGGAGTAGACAGTCAGTGGGATAGGGAAGACCTCCAGGCAGTGCCCAGGACTCCTGCTCATATCAGCTTCTCTGGTCTGAGTCAGCACATCTTGGCTCTGACAAGCCATGCCTTGGGTGAGGGGTTGCGGGGTGGGGGTGGAGGTAGAGGCAGCCAAGGGTAGCTTTTAGATAAGACAGGTACAACTGGTAAGAACATAACCTGCCCCCTCCTCTCACCCAACCCAACTCTGGACAACTGAGTCCTTATTCCAGCCAGCCAGGTGACTCTGATGGGGAAGGCCCTAGGCATTCAGAGGGTCAGTGGGGATGAAGCTGCAGCCTTGGTCCTGGAGTTGGGAGAGGGACACCCGCACTTAGAGTTCTGCTACTAGCTGTGGGACACCGGGCAGCTTCTGCCCTTCCTTGGACTCCTTGTTCACTAAGGCCACTCCCAGCCTTCTTTTTGGAGGTGCTAGACCAGTGACTACCTAGGAAGACCTAGAAGCATCAAAATTTTCCTTTTATTGGGAGGGAAGGGGCAAGCCAGAAGTCCCCAGAACTCACCTGTGGCTGTGAGGAGTTGCTGAACTGAGCTGGGAAGAGTGATCTCTGGAGCCAGGACCCCAAAGAAGATCAGGGAATGCTCCAAGAAACTGTCACCTTCAGAGTGAGGGTGAAGGCACAACCAGCTTTATAGGCGGCTTGCGTGTGTGGCCACGCCCCCTGGCTCTGGGATGGGACAGAGGGAGCCGAGGGGGGAGGGGGGGAGGTAGCTCTAGGGTGGATGAGAATTGGGGAAGCGGGGTGCACGCAGGCAGTTAAGAGCCCACTATGGGGACACTTGTCCAAGCGCCAGCATGTAAAAGAATGAGGGCTGGGGACACCAGGGACGCTCAGGTCCAAGGTGCCCCGTGGACAGCGCAGCGTCCAGACGAGGCGGGGGTTTGGGGAGAAGTCCTAGGACAGCCGGAAGGGAGAGTATGGGGAGCCCCCTGCCCCGGGCACGGGGTCGTCTCGCCCTCATTTTTGCAATCACTGGACGTGCAAGTGCTTCCCCCTCACTACTATCGGACCGAGGTCAGGCAGGCAGGGGCGGGGCTGCCCGGTAGTGACCTTCCTTCCCTGGGTTACAGAGTCCTGGCTTTGCGTGACAAGAGCTGCGACCCCTGCCCTGAGGTCACTGGGCGGAAAGCCGGCGGGCTGGACAGGGGAAGGGGCCAAGGGAGTAAGGAGGGGGCACCCCGCACAGACACCTCCCAGGCTATGTTGCCAGTGTCTGGAACCTCCTTCCAGGGGCCAGAGATCATGTGGTCTGTCGCCGCCCCACTTGCCCGGGGGTGCAGTGCCCCGCAGTTGCGTGAGAAGCGCAAGAAATCCCACACAGGTCCCCAGCCTCCCAAAGTCCGGGTCCTGGTCAGGTCCTGGCACAGTCACGAGAGAGGGGAGGAGACTCTGGGGGCCTCTAAATGGGCCAGTCTCTTGTAGAGCGAAGGGGTGGATGGAGAGGAGTGAACGAGCCTGGCGGATGTGCTATTGGATGGGGTTGGGGGCGGTGCAAAGGGCCCAGGTTTGCGTGCGGAGCTGGGCTTTTGCCTGCGAGCGAGCGCCTGCGTGTGTCCGTATTTTTGGTCCACGCCTGTGGCAGGTCACGCAGCCCCAGAGCCGCCGGCTTTCCTGGCTGGCTGCCTTTGAAGCTGTCCCCACCCATGCTGAATCCTGTGGATGTAGGATGTTCGGGCAGAAAAAGCCGTATTTGCGTGTCTAGCTCTGCTTGTCCCCACTAGCCACATCACACGCGGTGCTCCCCAACCCAGCTAATGGTTACGGTCATCCATCTGCTGGCCCAGGCCAGAAAATAGCCTCATCCTGACCCCTTACCTCCACTCTAGGCAGGTGCCACCTCATGCATTACACAAACATTTACAAATGCTATATGCCACCACTGTTCTAGATGCTGGCAATTAACATGAAAGTGAACAAACTCAACCTCCTGCTCACATGCAACTTACACATTATTTTGGTTGAGGGTGGTTGGGAGACAGATAATGCACAGAGAATGTCAGAGGGTGACAAGTGCTACGGAGAAAAACAGAGAAAGGAAGAGGTAAGCAATCATGTGGGGGCAGACTGCATTTCAAAATAGGGTAGTCAGAGAAGTCTTCATTGAGAAAATGACAGAGCATGGAGTATGGAATCTCGATCCCAGGCACACAGATACCTGGAAGAAGAGAGCACCTGGCAAAGGCAACAGCAAGTTCAAAGACCCTGCACAGTGATTTTATATATATAATTGATTATGCCATTACATTTGTCCCGTTTCCCACCCTTCATTCCCTTCCACCCTGCACACCCCTCCCCCACCATTCCCCCCCCTTTAGTTTATGTCCATGTGTCACAAGTTTTTTAGATTCTATATTTCCCATACTATTCTTGCCTTCCCCCATGTCTATTTTCTCCCCACCATCTATGCTACTTATTTTCTGTACCTTCTCCCTGCTCTCCTCCTCCCACTCCCCTGTTGCTAACCCTCCATGAGATCTTCATTTCTATGGTTCTGCTCCTGATCTAGCTGTCCTCTTAGTTTGCTTTTGTTTTAGGTGTGGTTCTTAATAACTGTGACTTTGCTATCCTTTCACTGTTCATGTTTTGATCTTTTTCTTAGATAAGTCTCTTTAACATTTCATATAATAAGGGCTTAGTGATGATGAACTCTTTTAACTTGATCTCATCTGAGAAGCGCTTTATCTGCCCTTCCATTCTAAATGAAAGCTTTGATGGATAGATCAATCTTGGATGTAGGTCTTTGGATTTCATGACTTGGAATACTTCTTTCCAGCCTCTTCTTGCCTGTAAGGTCCCTTCTGAGAAATCAGCTGACAGTCTGACAGGAACTCCTTTGTAGATGACAGTCCCCTTAGCTCTTGCTACTTCTAGGATTCTCTCCTTCATTTTATTCTTGGCTAATGTAATTATGACATACTTGGTGTGTTCCTCCTTGGGTCCAACTTCTTTGGGACTCTCTGAGCTTCCTGGACTTCCTGGAAGTCTATTTCCTTTGCCAGATTGGGGGAGTTCTCCTTTATTATTTGTTCAAATAAGTTATCCACTCGTGGCTGTTCCTCTTCCCCTTCTGGTACCCCTATAATTCAGATGTTGGAATGTTTAAAGATGTCCTGGAGGTTCCTAAGCCTCTCCTCATTTTTTTGAATTCTTGTTTCTTCATCCTTTTCTGTTAGGTCATTTTTTTTCTTCCTTCTGGTCCACTCCCTTGATTCAAGTCCCAGTTTCCTTTCCATTACTATTGGTTTCCTGTGCATTTTCCTTCATTTCAATTAGTTTAGCCTTCATATGTTCCTCTAATTTGTGACTAAAATCAACCAATGATCAGTTCTGTGAGCATCCCGATCACCAGTGATTTGAACTGTGCATCTGATAGGTTGGCTATCTCTTGGTCGCTTAGAAGTATGGGCTCTGGGACTTTGAGCTGTTCTTCTTGAGCCATAATGTTTTGGTCTGTTCATGCCTGTTATGTATGAGGGGTGGAGCCTTAGGTGTTCATGAGGGTGGAGCAACCCAGTCACTAGGTTGTGACGCTCTATGTGGGGGCAGGGTCAGAGAGGAGCAACGGCGTCTATTCTACTCTCTCTTGGATTTCGGTCCCCTCTGCTGCTTCCCACAAGCAAACTGGGCCCCCCTGGTGCTGGCTCCCAAGTGTGTGGGCCTGTGCACCCTCCAGGACCCTGTGGGTCTCTTCCAACGAACTCTCTGTGAGCCTGGGTGCCTCCCCCAGCACCTCGATCCCTGAAAGGTTTTGCAATTGGTGCTTTTAGGCTTGAATTCCCGTTGCTGGGGCCCTGGTTTGCGTGGTCTATCTCACTGCTTACTCCTCTATCTGGTTTATCTGAGTGTGACTGTGTGACTGTGGTCAGCCAGCCGCCCCGTGCCCTCACTGGGTCCACCTGTTGCCTCCTGGGTCAGCCAGTCACTTTTTTCTGCACAACCCCGCTCTGCCAGCCCCTGACTCCGCACCTCTTACCAGTCTGGCTGAATGGTTCCTTGTTGTCAGTCTTCCATACAGTTCAATTTTCTGTGTTTTGGTTATGTTTTTGTTACTAAAACTTTGTTGTCTTTAAATTTGGTTGTGCGAGGAGGTACAATGTTTCCACCTACGCCTCCATCCTGGCCAACAGGAAGTCCTGCACAGTGGTTCTTGAGGGAGGGAGCAGTACCAGGGGCAGTGGTCTTGTGACTGGGGAGTTCTGCTGGAATTTTGTGACCCAGTGGGTGGGATGCCCATGGGAGACATCCCTGTGCCAGACGCAGGGAACACCCTGCTGAGAAACATGGGACTTCCTCTGTGTGAGGAGACACTGTGAAGTCTGAGTCCCTGAAGGCCACTCTGGCTACTGTGCTGAGAATAGACAAAGACACATTTCTCTACTCTCGCATCTGTCCAGCCCCGCTGCCGCCTTCTCGTCTCAGACCTCATCATTGCTCCCTAGAGTTCTAACAGCCTCCAAACCTAGCTCCCATTTACCTTTTACTCCCTCCAATTCTTTCTGTACCCTGTTGCATCTGAAGTGGTCTTCTCAAAAACATAAACCATCCATCACCACCTTGCTCCTCCAGTAGGTCCCATCTGAATACAAAGTAGAATCTTTAACAGAATTTACCAGGCTCCACCTCTACTTCTAATCTCCTCTACTTTAAGTCTCAGCAAAAACGTTACTTCCTCTGGGATGCCCTTGAATCCTCTCCATAGCAAGTTAGGTATCTCCTGGTCTGCTTCCAACACTTCTCCATGGTAATTCTCAAAACTCTTGACCCTTGCTATGACCCCAGCCCAACCTGTCACTCCTTCCTCCATGCCCAAACACAGAAAACCAGCCTGTGGGTAATTGACCTGACAAGCCAAGTCCTTGCAAGATATTAGTAACTGGTAAATCCAGCTTTTTTAGGGATGGGGCACATGAACAGGGCGATGTTGAGTCCAAAGTACTGATGCTATAATGGGGGAATTCAGGCAACAGAACAGGCAGGAGGCAAGGCAGTTATTGCTGGTCTTCCAGCTCATCCAGCATTGTTCCCTTCATTCCAACCTCTCCATCTCTTGCTCAGCCTGCAGAGCTTCATGTTACCCAGGAGGGGCCTGTCCTTCAATCCCAGTTGAACTAGAACCACAGAAATAGAAAGAACCTGTGTGGCAGCCGTGGCAAGGAAGTGGGGAGCAAGACACTTCCAGACCCCTCATCCTGCTCTGCCACGCAGTCTGTCTCTTGGCTCCCCAGAGTCCCTGCCAATGCCCAAGCTCTGAAGAATCATGGCAATGCACTCTTCTGGGCTGGGAGACCATCTGCTGAGGTTCCTGACCAGGGACCCAAAAACTCCCTTTGTTTGATAGAGAGGCATTTGTTTCCTCACGTTTTCTAAGTGAGCTCACATTCTCTCACATTTGCTCACATACCCTTGACTCCAAAGAAATTAATTAGCTAATTAAGCCAGTTTCTTTCCTACTAGGCCCAAGGACACATGGCAAGTCAAAGCAGAGCCTAGAGCTCTAACCCATTGCTTCCAGGCCATGGTTTATTGTCCTAAACTACCAGTGAAGCCCCAAGAAGCCAAAAGGGAACAGCCTCAGCACCTGGGCCAGGGCTCCCATCTCCCCATATTCCTGGA